ACATGGCCAGCTAGCCGCTTCTAGCTATAGGCTACTTTCATTATCGATATTAATTAATATCATTAGAATAAGACTAGATATAAAAAATATGTTACTTGTTTTGCTCATAATATACGAATGTTGGTGCAGGACATGGCTAAACCCACTCAGCTCGTCGACCTGAACAAGACTATCCACATTCTCATACATCAGAGATGCTTACTTCTGCGTGTTACATAGATTAAGACAATTCAGTATACCCAGTATAACACATTTTTATCGGATAAAAGGTATAAACAAAACAAATAAAATTCAAGTGTTGTTTGTTTAATACATGATACATAAGTTTTATTTGACTTATATCCATCTTGTTTCGATATACAATATATTCGTATAATATAATTTCATTTAGATTTTGTTTCATTTTCATTTATAAATTTACCTTTGTTTACAATTTTCTTGGTAGATTTTTGTTTTTGCTTCCTTGAATTTTAGCAAATCGTATTTAGCAATGGTTCATGATTGGTTTACTTTTTGGTTGTTTTGGTTTCGTTTTTAACTATTTCTTTCATGTTTTTTTTTTTAGCAGAATTTACTTTTATTTTTTTTGTTAGATTACATATAGTATAATTTATATATATATATAAATGTTCAGTAAAATGATCCCTACTTTTTGTATGCTCATGACATAATTATCTATATGTATTTGTTTATCTTGTGTATACAGTGTGTCTTCTTCTTATACATTAATTATATGCTTTGTGTGTGTGTGTGTGTTTGTGTCTGTGTGTATATAGGTATGTGTTTTCTATTCCCATTAAATTTAAAGTAATTTCTGCGATAATAATAATTATAATTTCATCGTTCGACTTTAGACACATACATAAACAAATGCATTTCCATAACTTTCTTAATATACAAATACAATTTTGCTGAACACTAAAGCGCCTCGCAAAGGATACTCAATTACAATCAACTAAATTGGAGCTGCCATATAATATTTGTGTAGATAATTACATACATATATACGTAATTTATCTAATTTTCTATGTTTGATTTATTTACTTCGTTTTCGATTTATATTCTCTCTATTCATCAAATCGGAATTTACGCACTTAGTTACGACAATTAGTATGCTGAGCTGCTGAGTTAAGAGGGTTTATTTTATTTTACTTTATTTTGTTTTTAAGGTAAGTATTGTGTGTTATTTTTAGAAATAAATGTATTATTAAGTGGACACTACTAGCAAAAAATAGGGTAAGTTTTATATATATGCTTGCATTTGTGTGCATCGTTCGTTGAACAAAATGAAACTTAAGAGCAAACTTGAAAATAGGATAAGATAATACAAAAAAAAAACATATCAAAATAGTTGGCATGATAAAAGCTACAGTTGGCTTTTTTTAATCGTGTTAGTTTACACAACATAGTTATTATGTTTATATTTTTATTATGTATTTTTCATTTCTATTTTATTTAATTTTTTTGTCTATGTTTGGCTTTTATTACCACTAACAAGTAAGAACACATATTTAACCACAATTTGTTTTTTTGTTTTCGATTTTTGTATTTTTTTTTAGCAACACTTTTACACAGTTACAGTTACAGTTATATATATTTGAGTTGCGTGTCTCTAATTAGCTGCTTAAATTTTTACAAATTGCCTACTTAAAAAGTCATAAATCAGAGCCTTACATTTGCAGCTTTAATATTATAATTATATAATTAATGCATTTAGTTTGTAATATTGATTTTATTTTGTTGAATTCAGTAATTCACAAATTAATAATTTTATAATTAAACTAAATAAACAATAGGCCATATGTTGATATGTATTTGATTTTTACACTTTTTAAAAAAAACCGTGCTCAAACTTTATCAAACTTGCTTTTACATTCGTTAAGTGTAAGTAATTATTATTTCGCGAATATTTTCTATTTGTAATATTATTCATTTATCGTTAAGCTTATTGGTTTTAGTATTTTTCTGGTATATACTATGTGTGAGTTATTTGTAGTATTGTTCTATTTTATAAGTGTTTGGTATGTTTAATCCTCAAATGCATTCCTGTGCTTGGCTTTTAACATTGTCTATATGTGTGTTTGTGTGTGAGAGTAAGTGTATTTTGTATTTTTGAGTATTTCTTCTTCTTTTCCTAAGTATTTCTGCATTGGTCGCAATCAACGTTTGACATGCATTGTACACTTGTCGTCTACCATCTAGAACCGTGTTTTTTTATTATCAGATGTCGTAGCTGATATAATTAGTAACGTTTCCTTAATACAATAAACCCAAAACTGAACATTGTATTTGTATTTGTATTCGAGAGAAACTAAAAACCATTAAAACAATTTAAGATCATTGACTATATCTGCATTTCTTTAAGTTATATTATTGTTTCTCCTAGAGACGCTTAACTAATATTAGTCGGATTTGGTTTTTGCACGGGGTGAAGAAAGGGCTTGAAGTGTGTGTAGTTTCTATGCAGTATGTATTTGTGTGTTTTTGCAGTTTGAATGTAAACAGCATTTAGTATATCCATTATTTGCATTATTATCATAAGTATATGTTTAGTATAGCTATTAGCACTATAATGTATACTATATATAAATTCTTTTACAAATAGCAGACTACAATATCAAAAGCACACTGTGGATATATTTTGAGTGCTCTTCACTATTAATGCACGCTTGGAAGAACGGCAACAGAAAATAAAATATTAAATCATATATTTCAAATGGTTTTTCATTTACCAAATTATTGTAGATGCGAGATGCGTGTGTGTGTGCGTGTGTGCGTGTGTGTTCTCATGTATATAAAAATTTAGATCTATAAGCATAACACTTGGAATTTGTCTCTCATTCGTTATCTCCTTTGCTTCTAAGGCGAAATATTATATTGTCAATTCTTTGGCTTGAGCCGAAAACCATGCAAAATGACAAAATATATATTTCTCAGTTGTTCAGGGGGGTGGGGGTTGGGAAGGAAGGTTTAATGCAATGAAAATGGATATCAACAAAATCAAGGATATGCATACAACATTTAAATATTAAAATACTTTGCATTTGAACAATTTGTTGTTTATACAATTCTTTGAAAAGGCAAAAGGCATAATACACAGTAAATTCCTTAATTTTTACATTTATTCCTAAGTTGCTAATGCGTTCTACACATGAATAAATGGGCCTAGCGAATGCCACAAACAATGCCGAGTCCTTTTGGCATTGGAGGTGCACCGTATAACCCGGCCTTGCACCATTCGCTGGGCCGCACCAAGTACAGACACATACAGATACACATATGCCTACAGCAATTGGCTTTTCCGGGCACAATTTCCCAGCTGGAATAACAATTGAAATTCTCGAAAGATTGTGCATTTGTCTTGAAAAGGATTGGGTTCAGGGTAGGGGTAACCTTTTTTACTCGTTTAAAGCTAATTTATTTATTTGGAGTTAGTTTTCTTTTTTAATTTGTTCAACTCTTGCCATACATTCTTTTCAATACGCAGTAAAAAATGTCATATATATTTCGTTTTTGTTTTTTTTTGGTTTAGGATTTCATATTAATTTTTGATATTATTTATTAAATATTTTAATGCATTTGTTTTCAATACGGCTTGCCTTGCATGGTATAAAAATATAAATGTTCACATATACTTAAAAATCGTTAAGTTATTACGCTTTCATCAAAATTGTTTTTTAAAAGTAATTGAATCGATTGATAATTTATAAAATTAGGAATGACTTTACATATTATTGTTAATTAATTTGTTTTTTTTTTTTTTTGGATACGAGTAAGTGTGTTCTTCGCTTTTGCATTTTTTGTAATCATAGATTTCCATTTTCTTGTAGGGCAATGTTTAATTACTTAGCTAACTATTATTTTTTTTCCAATATATTCGGTATGCAGTTAGTTTCATAAGTGAACTTTACTATCGTTGCTTGCCTTTTTGGTGTTCTAGTAATAGTTGCTGTTGTGTGTTCAGAAGATTAACAGAATAGTTAATAGCTTAAATTAAATGTGAGTCCAGCATTTGGCAGGTTGGTTCGACAGGAGCCACAAATACATTCGATTTTGCAGACATATCCTTTGCTAATCCAACCTTAATTATAAGTAGTTATGTATATAGTGTCCTAAGTAATTGTTATTCTCATTAAATTTCACATTGAATTTTCCCTAGTTGCTACAGTTGAAAGCGAACATCGCTCAAATAGGCTTGACATACATATAATATTCCACTTTTACTTACAGCTATGAAAACAATACATAATATTTAATTATACTTGTTTTTATTCGATTTTTATTTTTATTTTTTTAAGATATACGTTTATGTACTCGTAGATGTAAGAAACAGTTACTGCTCTTTGGTTTCGTCTTAATATAGAATTTTATTAATTGTTCGTCTGTTCTTTATAAGTCCAATACTTTTTATTTTAGCTGCATGCTGTGTATGTTTTGTGTCTGTATATTCCATAATTGTTTTTTAATAATAAAAATAACTTAGTTTATATCAGTGTGGCTTAGGTTAGTTAATTTCGAAAAATGTCCCCTCTCAATAGTTGTTAATACGAGTACTGATATGCCCTTAAGACTTATAATTCATTCTAATTGCACTCAATAAGATCCCATACGTACGTACACTGAGCTATGTAAGTATGTGCTGCTTTGACAATTACCTTGATTGTTATAATTAATTTCTTTCATTTATATTTATTTGAAATATTTGTATTTATAGATATAGGCATACCAAACTTCAATATACAGCACATTTGTATTTTATTTTATTTTGTTTTTTACTTTAGTTTTATTTCTGGTTCGAATTTTGCTAAGTGTATAAAACTTTTAATTATATCCATTTACTTGATTTTTTTTTTGTTTTTCTCACTAAGCCAATTTGTAAAACGTTTAGTACAAATGCAATAATACATGTACATACATATATGTATACTATATATATATAGATGTATTACATTTATTGTATATATATTTGTTTATATAATATATACTGATATGTTTTGCCATTTAAATGTTTCAATAGGTTTCCTACAAACTTTATTTCAATTTATATTCATTTTTTTTTTTACCGATTTTACAACGTTTTTTCTTGGGCTGCTTATTACAAAAAAATTGCAATTTCTCGTTAAAACTCCCACATCGTTTGAATAATACAAATTTACTAAATTTTTCAATTTTGTTGTGGTTTTTTCCAAATTTTGTTGTCATAAGAACATTTTTGGTGTGCCCAAAGTGAAAATCAATAAAATACCGAGAGAGAAAAAATACTGTATATGCCAAGGATTGAACCATTCCCAACACAAATCTGAAACCAGTTTCATTGTGAGGGGTCGGGGGCTATCAAAAAATCGAAAAAACTCTATAGCATACTCGACATTCCAAAAATGTTTGGGATTACGGCTTGGGCACAGACTTGGACCCATGCCAGCTGGCAAAATACGCGTTCTCTAAGCGAATGTGTTAATTTGTTTGTTTGTTTGTTTATAATTTTCAATTTGTATTGTTTTATGCCCTGCTGGCTGGCATATGACAAACATTCAATTTATCAAAATCTTTGTTTTCGCTTGATTGAATTCTCGTTAGAATCAGTTATTTTATTGGGCCTGGGTTTTTGCCAAATTTCATTTTCTTACAAAGCAATTTGCGGCGTGCTACAAAAGTGTGTTCGGGTGTGTGTATTTGCGTGTGTGTAGCTATGTGGTACTCTCTGGATATCAACTGGAGAGTCGGGTTGGATGCGAGAGAGATCGGCAAAAGCTTCTGCCAATCGCTTGTTCCCACCCGTTCTCTCTCTTTTGGTTTTGATATGTGTGGGGCAAGCCGCGTGCAAAAGTTTCATCCAGCTTGCTCCTGGCAAGTGATTCAAACTAACAACTACAACAAATGTCACTTACTGCCACACGTTGCAGTTGCATGCAACACTAAATTCATTTACAAATGTTCAGTTGTGTTTGGCCAAGTATACAAAAGCATGGCTCAAATTCGAAAACTCCATCTCTCTCTCCCTCTTTCTATTTCCTTTTTACTTTCTTAGCTCTTTACATACTTTTATGACAATTTCATTTTCATATTAAATATGTTTTGTGTTTGCTTTGCTTAAAGGGTGTTTGGGTGTGTGGGTGTGTCTGTGTGTGTGGGTCTTGTGGACTTATAGATGTGCACTGTCAAAAATTTTCTTTTAGAAAACTCCCTTAATTCGCAAAACGGCACAAATGTAGAGCACCAGTCCAAGTCCCAGCAGCTGCATTTGGGGCGACGTGGAAGCACTACCCGAATCACAGTCCGAGCCTGAAAATTAGCGAGAGAAATGTGCGGTTAATATACCTTCTGTACAATTCATACATACATGGTCGTTTTTTGTTTGGGGGAAAATGATTTGATGGAATAAACGTATGGGGCGGTTCTAAAAACGTATGCGCCATATTGGAAAGCAAGCCTGCAAACTCAAAAATAATATATTTGAAGGCTCGGTTTACAGTTCAAGCCAACAACTCCTTTAAGCGCTCGGTTCGTAAAAACAGGCCAAGGTTTTCTCAAGATTTTTTCTCTATTTATATTATTATACAATAAAAATAATTCAATTTATCATACATATTATTATACTTTTATTTAGCGCAATCGACGCAGAAACTTAAAACTTTGCCAATATATTTAAAATTATTAATTAAATTTTTTGCGAAACCAAAAATAAAAATATAGTTCGGTTCACGTTAACGTTTCGTTTTATTTTATTTTTATTTCAACTAATCCCGTTTAAGGTTCGGTTCATGGTTGATAAAAAAGTGGAATTCCGACTTGCAGCCTTCTTATATAACCAAGGCCCACTCTTGCCTTCCACACCTGATGGCCTGGTCTTGGTCTACGTAAAAGCGAAATCAACCTCCAACTACCTGAGCTTTAATATTTTGTTTGCTATATTCGTAAATATATATGAATAATCAAAAAGAAAAAATGCCAATTGAAATTAGAGAAGTAAAGGAAAATAAGAAAAAAAAATGCAAGCAGTTTACTTGTGGTGCGATTTTTGGTGCATTGAAATCAAGAAATCGATATATCGATAAGTCGATAGATCGAGCAACTTAAACGAATTTCACGCGAACTTACCTTAACTAACAGTCCTAGCAATTTGTCTGGTTTTGCGCTATGATTCTTTATGTTTTCATTTACGCATATCGCTTCATTATACAAAATACATTAAGATTTATAACCGCTTTGCGTGCTAATTCGCTTCAAACTTGTTCGTCAACAGCAGCTGGGCCGCGCGAACTGCCAACCGATCGAATTTTGGTTCGCACAAAAGAGCTCAAAATTGTCCAACAAGATATATAAACAGCGATGTCGCGGTTGTCATCTGAGCTGCCTGCTTATATATATTCATATGCACATATATGTTCATATATATATATGTTCATATATTTCTATATATATATATATATATATATATATATATATATATATGAAGATAGCAAACTTGACTTTCATTTCAGGCAAAACCAAAGTAAATTTTTAAGCCGGCCGGAATCTTTCAGAAGGAAATGCCTCTCCATATGGACTTGTATCTATCGGGTATGATTAGTTTAAGTGCATGTGCGGGTTTTTTACAAATCAAGAGTTATTTTAAGTTATCTACATGTAAGAAACAGATATAAGTTTCAAAATAAAGCGGTAATCAACCAAAAATATGGTCTAATATACCACCGAGTATTTTATAAATATAAATAATGTATAAAATAAGGTGTATATGCTTGTATCATTTGGCCTGGTCCTATAGTTAGATAGTTTTAAATCAATTGAGCATAATTTGTGTATCTTATGCTATCAAGCAACTATCTTATATATCTATATCTATATCTGAGCCACAAAACCAAATTTGTAATTTTGATATTAGTATGAAATGCTTGTGTTTTACTAATTTCTAATTTACTAAAAGCAAAACAAATTAATTTAAAATCAAAATGTTATAATAATAATTTTCAATATAAACAGTTAATCCACAACAAATGTATTTCTATATGTAAGCTTGATTGCATTTTAGATACTTCTATTTATCTTTGTCTAAGAAACATCCAAATTCATATGTAGTAGTAGTATTTTTTTATTTTAGTATCTTGTGCTCGAATACTATTATTAGATACATTTGTTTCTCAAAATGTGAGCAAAACAAATAAATTACAAAATCAAGCTAACACCATAAATTTCCAATAAAAATATAATTAATCTACCAAATATAATAAACATATATATATATAAATTTGTATCTTTTGCCCAATTTAACCGCAGGGCAAGCATGTCGCGTGCATTTAATGTCCGCTAATTTGAATTTAAAAGGCTGACCAATTCGTAGATTATATGTGCAGATAATCAAGAAATAAATTGGCACAAACAAGCGCGACAAATACAAAAAAAAAAAAAATAAAAAACAGATAAATAAATAAAAGATACTAACAATGTGAATATTTGAAACACGTGTCGCTATAAGCAGCGCAAATCAAACAAAACGTAACCGCAGCGCAGCGCAGCAAATCAAAGAGAAAAGGCCAGGCCATAATAATAGGGTATACAAATGCGAAAGATACAAAGATACACACGCTGCGTATCTACGACAATTTGTATGGCAACAGCTCGTTTTGTGCGTATCGAGTATTGAGTATTGAGTATCGATTTCAGGCATCGGGCCTGAGCTATGACAAACATTAATTGTCGCTACCCGCAGCTTTGTATATGTACCTGTATCAGCACCTGTATTTGAATCTGTATCTGTAGTATCAGTATCAGTATCAGTATCAGTATCATTATCTGTATCAGTATCTCAATATATAAAACTGTTTGTCCTTACTGACTGACTTACTGACTGACTGGTGATCAACGCACAGCCCAAGCCGTATGAGCTAGGATGTTGAAACTTCCATTGAAGTTCTATCGGCCTCAAACTCATTTTCAAATATCTTTGTTCAAATGTCAATTTCATTTCCAAGGATCTATATGAAAATAAATTTGAAAAGTGTTTCTTACGTTTCGCATAATCAAAACTTCTTAGGTAGAAATGGGATCCAACCATTTTATGGGCGAAGCTTTACTTGTTTTGTACCTATGTATATATCTGTATCCGTGTACATATCTGTATCTGCGTATATATCGGTATCTGTGTATATATATTTGTATTTGTATATATATCTATATCTGTATCTGGTCTTACGCTTCGGCTCAAGACCTGCATGAGCTGTCGATAATGATAAACTGATTGCTTGTGTGTGGTGCCAGCCAGTCTGGTCTGCTCAGGACGAGGCGCGGCACCAGTTCTGTTATTTTTTAAGTGGATTAGCACAAACCGCGCATTTTTTGGTGAAATTTTAAATGCTCATTATGGCAAATAAGGCGCGTGTTGGCAAGCGCTGCGATGCCCATAAAATATATCAACCACTACATATCAAAATGCAAATTAATTAATTAGTCAGAAAACCGGTAACCACACTGACGGCCACTCACCACACCACAGCGGCTCAGCTTTTACTTGTGAGCCATTTTCAGTCCGTAGATTAGATATAGGCCCTAAGCATTAACCATTCCCGCCAGCACAGCCCCTCTGCTCAGAGTGGACCTTCCCCCGAGGGCTAGATTCATTTGCATACTCCAACTCTGACTTATCTGTAAAATGGTACTCAAATAAAAGACAAGTAAAATCTGCTGGCTGCATCATGCCGAGACGGAATACCCTTGACATTTAAAGTATTTTTGTAAAGAAGCCATGTTACCGAGCAAGTTCGATTATGGAGGCTATATGCTTCCTATAAGGGTAATATCTTACAAATATTTGAGAATAATAGTGAAGCACCTAATGGATGAGTTTGATCAAAATATCTTATAAAACAGAAATGTTCTTAAGACTTTAGTCATATACTGGGGAAAGGTTGTGACGGATTAATCCTGTGGTATCCACTGCAATGGGCCAGCGCATACATATGCCCTATCTGCAACAGAAATGTAAGGATTTGGAATAGCTTTAAGCTGAACGCCCAATTTGAAAGACGGACAAATAGACAGATTAAGAATATATATACTTAATGAAGACGTTACAAATTTCATAAGAAAATCGTTATACCCTCTACAAGCAAAGATGCTGAAAACAGATACTCTCACCAATACTCACACACAAACAATACACAAAATTAACATAAATTAAGTTTTATTAATTTGTGAAACACTAATTCGGCTTTGTATCGGAGCGCAGAGTTGTATAGCCCACAGACTAGACCCAACCAGACCAGACATCTTGGCGCGGTCGTTCAAGTTGCTTCGACTGGCAACAGTCACAGCTACAACAAAAACTGCGACTGCGACTGCTACAGCAATTTTGACTGTGACTGCGATTCATCTTTCACCAGACAACACAGTAACTTGTCCACGAATTTTAATGGCTACTTTTACAATTCGCTGCCGCCCACCTTTACTAATGCATGTTACCAACTGTTGTATACACAGCTGTCTTTTAACTACATAAATATATGTATATATATTTAAATTAAAGTATATATATAGCTTGATTTATCATTGTCAGTTGGGCATATATGCATATGCATACTGTGGCAGTGTTGCCGTATTTTTGAATTTCATTTCTCGGTCAGTCGTTCGCGCTCTGTCAGTTGGTCAGTTAGTCGGTTAGTCAGACTCAAGCTGAGACTGAGAAACTGCGAAACTCATTTCACTGATTGATGAGCACATTTTAAGATACTGACATTACCCATAAATAAAATTGTGAACGCTGGCTACGCACAAATGCAATAAATTAAAAGAGCAAAAACTATAAAAATCTTTCACCGAAATAAAATGCTGATTCTGACTCACGATTGCCACTAACTGCCAAAAAAAAAAACATATATCTATAGGTATCTGGGCAACATAACTGTGTTTCCATGCGATACTCAATCAACCCGACGCGCAAATGGAACGCGTTTAGCGTTAACTTTCTGCATTTAACTGGCAAATTGTCAGGCTAATTGACACGCGTTCCCAGACCCAGAAAAAGAATGTATATATTGTAAAAAAATTAAATACAATATACACAATTACAAGCAAGCCGACAGACTCATACCCTGCAGTGCGTCTCTAATTATTTTGAACTGTGGTAGATTTAAATAATATTTAAAAAAACAATATTAATTTGATTGAAAATAAATGAACAAATGGACCAAAAATAAAGTTTATTTTTGTGACAAGAGTATTGAAGCTGAAGTAATTTCTAAGCTAATAATATAAAGAGATTGATTATTGCTTTGATTTATACACAAGATGTACGAACATCAGATGTCCAGAGCTAACATTCTAGTTAAATAAATTAGCAAAAATGACAACAAAAAATATACAAAATGTTTTAAAAATTGTATCAAAGCAGGTTTGTTAAAAAAGGCACACCCCGCGTAACACTCAAATCCAAGTCTTACAAAACTTAACAACTGTCTATTCGAAAGAAATTCTACAGATAAGGAAGTCAGTTATTTGAGATCTTCGCCTATTGAATGGTCTATTCATATTGCAGGGTATCTGGATATAAGCAGGTATTTGTTCTGCTGAAATTTGAGCTATTGAGGTGTGGCACGGTTAGCCAGACAGGCAGCAGCTGGAGGCGTGTGTCGCGCATAAAGAATATCTATAAAGTGTATGTTAATTGCTTGCCAAAATTCATACACATAAGGCAACAAAAGTAAGAAATAAAATGTCAACAGACTGTACTTAAATCCCAACAGAGAAATAAGTAAAAATATTGCAGTTGCGTTGAGACGACTGCGTAATACTCTCTTTACAGGGTAATCAAATCAAGGATTGAAAAGGCTCTAATGTAGTTGTAGGATGATTGATAATAAAAAATACACAAGAAAAAAAAAGACAAAAATAATATTTCGTATTGTTTTTTTAATTAACCTGTAGCAATCAGTGGTATTAAAACTGTGTCCATATTTTATTTTCAGTAGAGTTTTTAAGCTTTAAGAGATATATATTGTCGCGTATTTCAATACTTTATCTGAAGGGCATCTGCCAAAGTATTGTATATACAGATACATAAATAAAGTTTCAATTTACTCCTTTACAGCTAACAAACAGAGCAGAAAATGCATTTATGGCAGCTGCTTTAAATCAAATAGACCTGGAACCATATTCTTTTATAGGGTTTTACTCACCTGCCCAACTCCTGACTTTAGGCAAATAATCGTTCCAGAAAGAGCAGCGCGCGGCGAGTGGGCCACGTGCCAGTTTCTCAATTTTATCGTCTGTGCTGAATATATAATACACAGGATCCTCCTTTGAAAAGTTGGGCCATTCCTCGCCATCTTGTGCCGGATTGCTGCAAGACGTTAGAGGAAAGCTCGCGTTATAGCAAAACTGGTTGATGTACACGCTAGTTTTATGGCAGACAGTGCTAAAATAAAAGCTCTGCTAAAGCTTACCCCGTCTTGGCAAACTCAATAACCGAATTGAGCATACGCTTGCCCAGCTCCCGCTCCACAGGTCGATATTGCAGAGATGTGTTTAGCGGCTGCCCAAAGAAATACTCAATTTCATCGCCGTGCAGCACGCCCATCCACTCGCCCCACAGCGATGTGCTGGTGCGCTGGAGTGAGACAGAGACAAAGAGAATAAATGAGTGAGTGGGTGAGAATAAGGGTAGGGGACCGGGAAATCGTCGTAAAGTTAACCAGAAATTATGCAGATAAACATCCACCCTTTTTATTTATTTATTTGATTTCGCTCCCTTGCTCGCTCTCTCTCTCTAAATTGTAAATATTGTCGCAGCATGTGGCGAACAAAATAAATCAAGAAATTCTTCAGCGCCGAGCTGTCGTTACAAAAAGTCGAACTTTCTCATATATATACACTCATGGCCAAAATAACAATTACATTATCATTAATTTTAATATAATGAACTTTCGATTTCAACAGATTTTTAAATATATTTGGGCAGTTGTTTAACACAAATTGTGCTATCAAAATGGGAATACAATTTTCGCTTTATGCTCTACATTGTTGAGCTATAAATTCGTGTCTCGATGAATAGAAAACTTTGGTTGTTCTTTTTTTCATTCACGAGCAAGGATGGACAAATTATGTCAAAATGTCTTTAGGCGAATGCGGGAAGATGTCCAAAAATTTACTGTTTTGGCATACGAGAAATTTCCTGAAACATAATATACTTTTTTCCGCTATCGGTTAAATTAAACAGCTATCGATAGTTATTGACATAAGTTTTGGCTATTTGAGATCGGCAAGCTAACGACGTCCCAAGAACGATCTGGCTCTTGATGCCGATCAGGAATACCATATGGTTTCGCCTTTGTCTACCTCTGTGAGTACACAAGTATTTTACAAGGCGTAAAAATAAGTTCTTAAGTTTATTCCGCAATTGCCGTTTAAATTGTTAACTGGAATAGTTAGGTTTGGGTAAGTATTGGTCGGTTAGCTGCCACACAATGGCAGCTCCCATAATTTCTTAATTAACCACAACCGCCACCTACAACAACAACTACAGCTACAAGAAAGACAGGCCACTAGACCACAGCAATTTGGTCTCTGGCAACTGATGGACAGCTCAAGTGCACAGTGGGTCCAGCTTTGCGAAAAGTAAACAGTTCATAATCAACATTGATTGAAGAATGTAATAAGCCAATTTAACTGTTCGAGCTAGCTAGGAAATTAGAGAAAGAAATGAATATATTGCCAACGTATTTGTATTAAAGAATCTGTTTTATGGATAGATATAAGTGGGTCTGTTATTATTTGTAATATATATTATTATTGAGAATATAAATATATTAATCAAAATCTTTATGAGTGAAGCTTAACTCCAAAGTTTTGAATCCGTTTTTTGTTGGACTAATAAAACGGTATTTCCAATTTCAAACTAAAAACTTTATTAAGCTTAATAGTTTTGTAATTGGCCAAGATCAAATACAGCCCATTGTCAGAGTTTTTGAAGTGTTGTCCACTTAAGCAATTTGTCTGTTGGGCAGCAACTGCGAACCTGGCAGCGAATTGGCCAAGTCACCAAATGAATTGCAGCCAGGATGTGCCAGGGATAATGGTGTTTTCGTGGCTAGCAGTGCTGCAGCAGCTGCCAGGTTGTTGAAAATGTATGCGCCACTGAGTTTACCACCTCAAACACACACATACAGACAAATAGACGAACAAATAGACGGACGGACAGACGGACCCTTCACGCCTTTAGGCGCAAATAATGAAGAATTGTGCGGCAAAATAAAGTTGTTTTATACCCTGAACGCATTGAAAAGGGTTGAAAAGAGTTCTGTGCTTTTCAGGTAATGCTTGTAACAGGCAGAAGGGAACATATATACTCATGATCGAGACAGTTGAGATGGTCCATCCAAGATTCTCTATCTCCGTCTGGCCGCCTGTGATTACATGACGATCTGGGAAACTACATAAGCTAAACACTTCTAATATGAAATATATATTCCCCCACGAAATACTCAGAACGAGCTCATCAGTTTATTTCGATATCTCCTCTTATTTTCGTATTATCAATAACTATGCTCGATATTGACACATTGTTTTTTGTGTCAACATCGAGCATAGCTCGAATATTCTCAGAGCTAGATAGATCGGATTTAGTAAGTATATGCGTGTATATAGAAATAAGCTAGAATATTTTGAACAGTAGCTGGATGCAGGGTATCTGCTAGTCAAGCGCCTACGACTACAGCTTGTTTTATACTTTTTGATTAAAGCCCAGAACTTCGCAGTCGGACTTTGTACCCGGAATGGGCAATTGGCGCGCTGAATGGGGCAGCCAGAAGTTATTTAAGTGCCAGGCACGTTGCACGCTGCAGCAGAAGCTGTCAAGTGTTGGCGCCCCGTTGCCACTGGCAGCCATCGCAATAGACAATCTGGCAGGCACTTTAGCAGCTGCCCAGCTGGCGACCCCATTTGCGCGGCCAGGGCCAAAGGTCGCTATGGCCACCTCGTTTATGGCCAAAATGAGTTACGAGTTTTTTGCAGCCACTTGAAGGCTGTAATTAAAACTAATTTCATTTTCTTTTCATTTCGCCGGCCCAGTTGCTGCTGCCGTTTCCCATCTGCCACTTTCCACTTGCCACTGCTAGTTACCGTTGGATTATTAACAGGCGATTTGATATGAACAATGCAACGGCCGTACGTTAACTTTTCGCACGCACTGTTGGCCTTGTCGTGTGCTCTATCAAATGAAAACAAATAAAACAAAGCATTGCAGTCGTGTGCAGTCGACTGTAAAATACGCTGTTCAAAAATAGAACCGTAAAGAGTTTTTTTTTTATTATTGGATTTGGGAATCTAAGACTATAATTCCACTGCGACTATGGGATATTTTTACAAACCGAAGCTCAAAGCAGGGAGTTCTCTCTTTCGGCTAACGCACAGGGTATAAATAATAGCCACAGGCACATTTAATGACTTAACAAGCAAAAAGAGTGCAAGTGCTTGATTAACATTGGTCTCAAGACGCTGCCGTCGCGCAACACACGCGGCGTATGCGTAATATTGATTTTTTAGACTAAACATCAATATGTGTGCGCCACACGCACATATATACACATATACATATATATACATATATATTTATAAATATGTATTTGTTTTATTTATTATGATAAATCAATGGAAGGACAAAGACTCAATACCGCCTCTCAGCTGTAATTACCTATTAACATTTACGCATTGTCGCTAAGAGAAAATCAATAGGGGCCGACGCGGGCGTATACCGAATGCCAGGCACTGTTTAAGGCGTACTCCCTATTTGTCAATCATTAGACAGCTACAGCAGCCGCAGTCCTTTAAGCAAATAACGGACTCAAATTATGTCCCACACGTTCGGGCCGTACAGGCCGTGACCTCGTAAATTGAAGTTTCATTAGGCAGTGCCACGCCCCCTCCCAACACACACACACACACACTCGCAACAGCCGGACGCGACTACAGTTCGTGTCCCCTGTAACGACTGCTTGAGCTCCATGTCTGTGTCTCCGTCCCGGGCACAGGCACAGGCACAGGCACAGGCCCGGGACCTGGACCCAGACCCAAGTCCTGGCGCAGGACAGTTGGCAGTGCGTGTAGTTTAATTGGCGCTGTCCTTGTCCTGTGCGTGCGTGTGTGTGCCCTGTGCGTTTATGGGTGTGTATTGAGCGAAACTTTTTGTTACCATAATTATGGCGGCCAAGGTTGCCAGGACATGGCCAGAACTTTGCTTGTTTGTTAAGTCAAAGACAACGGCGCCGACCGCTTTTAGGCGTCTAATTCTGAGGTGTTATAATATTGATTTCGATTTGGAATATGTTTGTTTATCATATGTATTAGGTGGTATTAGAAAATATGTGCTAAATAAAAATGCGCAAGATGTATTATATAAGAATTTACCTTTTTCAAATTCTGTCGTAACACATAGATAAAAACATTTCGGAACCCATAAGGAATATATTCTAGATCAGCATCAACATCCGAGTTGATATAACCATGTCTGCCCGTCTGTCGGTCTGTTTGTATGAGAATTAGCCTCTCAGTTTTAATCTATCGTTTTGGCACATTGTTGATTCTTGCGTGAAAACCCTTTTTGAAATAATAAAATATCTTGATAAGCCCAGTCACATATTAGTTCAACTATGCCAAATTTTATCATCTTATCTATCTATCTTATATAGCTCTATAGGAGATTAGTTCGAAAATGAGTCTTTGTATTGCTCAGTACTTATGAGCTTTACAATTCTCGCATATTTCCAAAACCGTACAACGAATGTCTTCTAGGGTATTTTACTTTCTCGTTTTATTGTAAGCCAAAATTTGTAAGTTAATTTAATTAAATTAAAATAATTATTTTAGTCAACATAAATAGGTCGCACACATTATTCTTTAATTAACTTTTTTTGCTTACTCTCAACATGCTGCTGGCACTTTGACGATAATATTCATAAATACTTGAGTACCAAAAAATAATTGCAAATAATTTGTATAATTTTTCTCAGGCATCGTGTAAGGCCAAAAGAACTGAGGATTCTTACCAGACCTTCTGAGGTCTGTTGCTATGTGCAATATATATGTATATATGCGAAATATTAATATAGTGACATATCCATAGTCGCACCCACCCTTTAACATATCTTAGCACATAAGCATAAGCACAATTATAAACATTTCTAATATTGTAAACAAAGAGCCTGGTGATAACATCGACATTGGTCAAGATCAAACTGTCCCCCTTTGGTAGACATAAACAATTCACCCTAAATATCACGCCACTGTCAATGTTCCCATCAGAGTACTATCCCACGCATAATTGCTGACGCAGCTCAAACTTCACTCAATTTTGACTCAAACTCTCTCAAAGCGAAGTTTGCTAAGCGACCGCAACAGTTAGATAAATCAGTTCATATTCGGGAAGCAAATCTGAATGTACTCAACAAAAGTAGCCGTTAAGTGAAAATAATAAATTGAAATATATTTTTTTATAGTAACCTAACGTGTAAAACTTAATTGGCGCAGCCGGTAGGATACGTCGGGAAAAATTAAAGATCGCTAAAGGATAATTAATTCCCAGATCTAACGCACAATCGCGACCGAAAGTGTTGT